ACGATACTTCTTGGTGTAGTCGAGACCCAGAAGTTCGAGTTCTCTGTAGAAGCTGCTGATGTCGATGTCGTTGGGGTGCAGTGGTTCATCCAAGCATCGCCGTGGCAAACAGGCCGAAGGAGAATTAAATGTGGCAACAACGCGACCACTCGCCGAATTGGAAGGTTTCGTCTCTCTGTCCAGAGCAGAGTCAATACGAACTTCCGTCTCCAGCTGATCGGCGCTCTGATGTGTCACTTTAAGCGTGACGAGTAGCTCGGCCATGCTGTTCTTGTCGTCGAACGAGATGGCTTTATCGATACTCAGATCCAGTACCTCGAGCACGGTGACTTCAACATCTTGCGCAACACGTTTCCTTGTTACGTGCAGAGCTGCTTCCATGGCCATCGTGACGTATCCAGCAGCGGGAAGGATAGGTTGGCCTTGAAGGTCGTGACCCTCAAGCCACTTATCGTCTTGGGGCTTGATGAAGGACTGCCATTGGAACGTCGAGTCTGTACTCGTCGGAAGAAGAGAACCCAGTAGGAGATGGGGAGCTGGTCCGGCAAGAAAAGCTTTCGTGGCACGTGTTTCGGTCCAATGTGATCGCGTGTGGTCCCATGAGTACCTCGGAATAACCTTGGTTAGGCTTCTGCGAGGCCATGATGAAGGCGAAACCGTTCTCATGAAGCTATCAGCGTTGGGTATGTTGAAGCTGGCAAACCGCTCCCAGAGATAGGCCAATGCTTCCGCAAATGCATCCGTATTATCTTGACTTCGTTTCATGCATCCTGTGTACGGCAGATCCGTGCCGGAGATGGCTTGAATGGTTGCAGTAGTAGGACGCTTCAGAGCCGGATGAGCACCCACTTCTACGCCACAAGCGACGTGGTATTCGCTCACTGCACGCTCGACAGCCTGTGAAAAACGGACTGGGGAGACGAGGTTTGTTGCCCAGTATTCAGCTGTGATGTCCGTACAGTTCAAGAGTCTACCCTCGTACACGGACGAGTACCATGCAACAGGCGAAGATGAGAGTGGCGTCTTAGACGCGGGATTGGCGGCACAGCCACATTCGACGAGAGATTTGGTGTACGCATCGCTAAACTGAGCCATATGATGAGAGTGATAGGCTTTATCGACGCGTAGGAATCTCGCGAATTTTCCTTCGTCCTTGAGAATGGCCTCGACATGTTGCAAAGCTGATAATAAACGCACAGACAGTCAGTTTGGCCCTCGTCCATAAGATCCATGTGCGCGCATGCGAGAAGCAGGAAAAGGAGAGGCACACTAACCATCGGCATCACCAGATATCGTCACGCTGATGGGCGCGTTATACGCCGCAACGCAGATCCGTCCTTCAAAGTCTTCAAGGTTGCACAGCTCTTCCGCGTCCTCGTGTGTAATCTCGGCTGCGAGCATCGCACCTCTAGCGCCGTCAGGAGGCTCGGCGTCAGACGTGGTAACGGCTAGCCCGCGCAAGTAAGCGATGCGGATGGCCTGAAAAGGCGTGATGTATCCCGCAGCAACCGCACAAACAATTTCTCCTGAGCTATGACCGACAATAGTCGTGAACTTGATACCTGCAGCCTCAAGCAGCCTAAGAAGCACCAGTTGAACGGCAGCGCAGAGCGGCTGTGAGAATTTCGCCTCCGTCGGTTGAGACTCGCCATCATCGCAACAAATCCGTTGCCGGAGCGTCCAAGTTGGACGGTATGCTGTTGGCAGCGTCTGCAAGGAGACATCCAACTCATCTATGATGTCTCGCGTCCAAGGGATGGAGGCTAGAAGCGATTTGCACATGTCTGGCCACTGCACACCCTGTCCGGTAAAAATGCCCAATATCTGGGGTAGGCCCTTGTTGCCACGGTTAGGACTGCATTCTACGCCTAGGTTATCTTTAATGGCTGCTTGAAGTGCGAGACATGCCCCCTCGCGCGTGTGGCTGGGGATCGCGTGCCGAACGGGCAGCACAGCCTGCTTGCGCATCAATCCCCAGGCTAGATCTGCCATGTCAATGCCTGGATCTGACTCGAGAAACCGGAGCATGGCGTTCATGTTGTCTCTGAGAGAACGCTGCGATTTGGCCGATAAGACAATGGGAATACCGTACGTAGTGCTCGGGGTCTGGCTCTCTACGTCGCGGGGAACCATCTTGGGAGGCGAAGGCTGCTGTAGGCCACTTCCAACATACTCTTCGATGATGCAATGTGCATTCGTTCCACCAAAACCTGCGGGTTGACTTCGTCAGTCTTTGAGCTGCTGCATATGCATAACGATGTCTGCAACTCACCAAATGAGTTCACACTGGCCCGACGCGGGTGACCCGGTGTAACTTGTGGCCAAGGCTGGATTTCCGTGGGGATGCGGACGTGCTGGTAGAAGGGTTGGACCGCAGGGCTGAGCTTTTCAAAATGTTGATTAGGCACAATCACACCATTCTGGACCGCAAGAGAAGCTTTCAGCACGCCAGCCAGCCCAGCAGTCCCCTCTGTATGGCCGATCACCGTTTTCACACTGCCGACTAGCAGCCCTTGAGGCTGCGTAGCGTCGGGAAACTTGCGATCAAAGAACGCATTTGAAATAGCCTCCGCTTCTTGCGGGTCACCTGCTGGCGTTCCCGTTCCTGGTTCATGACATCCGTGAGTTCAGTGTTACAAAAGCGTCTTTTTTCAGTGTGACGTCAATAGCAACTCACCATGGGCTTCAAAAGATTGAGGGCGGTCACCAATGTGACTCAAATCGAGTCCCGCCCTCGCATAAGTGTCTCGAATCAATGCTTCTTGTGCCACGTGGCTCGGCATTGTAATTCCAGTAGTCTTGCCGTCTTGATTTACGCCCGTCTCACGGATGATGCTCTCGATGTGGTCCCCGTCATTCAGAGCTTGTCGCAGGGTCTTGAGAACCACAGCTGCAATGCCTTCCTGCACGTGATGTTAAATCCGTTAATTTTCCATATTCAAACGTAGAATGTGCGGAATTGGAACACTGACTCCTCTCGCATAGCCATCAGCGGCAGCATCCCACATTCGCGATCTTCCTGTCGGAGAGAGCATACTAAGTTTACTCTCTGAGACATAATTCACTGTCATCCATTTCCAAGTCAATGTCATGTCATTAAGATTCAGAGATTTGTCAAGATTGTGACGTACACGGAGATATAATCATATTCGCACCGGCAGCCACCGCAACTCTGCTCTGACCACTTCTCAGTTGCTGCACCGCATGATGAACTGCGACAAGAGACGAGCTGCAAGCAGTATCAATGGTCATCTGGGGATGAGATTTGATGATCAGCAGCTACGTCGGTCACGAGATGAACACAAAAGCTTACACTAGGACCATGCCAGTCAAAAACATAAGACAAGCGGTTCGAAGCAATACTCGCGGCAACGCCTGTGGCGAAATAGGTTGGCATATGATGCACATCTTGTGTTTTGATTGTCTCAAAGTCGTGCGTCATAAGTCCAACGTAGACAGCTGTATCAGATCCTTGAAGTTCATGTGCAAGCCCGGCGGAGGAGAGTGCATCATACGTCGCCTCCAAAAGAAGACGCTGCTGAGGATCCATACTTTCAACCTCTCCAGCCTGGATGTTGAAAAACGGTGCGTCAAAAGCGCCGAGAGGTTCCTTCAAGAAATACCCGTATCTTGTATTTGTACTGCCGTGGTGCATGCCGTCAGGGTGAAAGAACTTTTCGGCACTGAAGCGCTCCTTGGGTACCTCACTCCGGAGGTCTCCCGGCTGCTGCAACAACTTCCAGAATTTTGAAGGGCTGTCTACGCCACCGGGAAACCGACATGCGCTCCCGACTATAGCGATGGGCTCGTGGTCGTACATCTTGGCACGGAATGATGAAGATTGTTTGGAAGCTGTGTTGGTCATTCAACAGATCCTCAACTGTTAAAATGTTAATGACGGACCGTGAAGATCGTAAATCAAGTTCAATTGAGATGAGATGAGCTTTTCAAAGTGAGCATGAATCAGAACAAAGCGTGGTTCCAACGACTACAATGTGTTGACGAAGAATTAATTTCTCATGTAGACCATAGACTAGCTTATGTCAACATCGAGATACTTATCTACGTGCGTCGAGGCACCTACACGATTGCGGCTTAACCCCAGTTATTTCATGCAAAGCTATGCGATATAGTTCCAGTCAAGCATATCGCTAAATCGAAGTACTTGCATGCCACGCGGCCATGGGTTCTGTATTCGCTCGTAGGTATGGTCGGCGGATGATACTTCTTCTGAGAATCGAAGATATTAGGTCTAAAGATAATTTCGTCTTGCTGGAAGCTTAGGTATTCTCCTCCGGGCGCTGCTGTGGGGAAGAATTTTATCCCGCGCGGATCCCGCGCGGATTTGATTTGGCTTTGTTAGGCTGATGCTAATATCCTGATCAACCTCTTAAACTCATTGAGTTCAAGGCGGAGGAGATTCAATATGCTAGTGAAACCCATAGCACGCGGCCAGAGAGTATCTGCGAGTCAAGCACAGCGCCTGCAACTTGAAGCTTACTTCTCCAGCAAGCGATTCCAACAGGAAACTCGACATGGTCTTCCGACCCGAGAATTCGGCATCAAGGTTCAATGTTGCTTTTTATGCTCTCTTTCAGGTAGATACCTTTTCTGCAAGGTTACACATTGCTGTACTATCTACAGACATCTGATGTGGCTGCACCTCGCACTGGCTCATTCTCGGCAAAACATCAACTGATCACCATCTGTCAGGAAAAGGTGTGCTGAAGTGATCCAAATTCGGCATCATGAGCTGTTTTCCTTTCGCCTTGCTTTCATATTAACCTTTTGCCGACACAGAGTGCCGAAAAACTGTGATATTAACACAACTCAGAGGACTGTGTAGAAAACGCCTGTAATTGTCTTTTGAACGATAAGGCAAAACTAATTCAACGACCTGACAATATCTCACATTTGCGCGTTTGGAACTTCATCAGACATCGTTTGTCTGACCGACAGAGATACTGTGATGCAAATTGCCCTCAACAACTGTTCCCCAAATGGCGTCTTACAGCTTGCCACAGCCGTCTGCGAATCATACTCCTACCTTACGGTTCTACGACAAGCCATATGATGCCTCAAAGCTCGACAAATCGCAGTTGTTCATACACCATGTTTCGCGCGTCTCCGAGTTACTCAACGAGAGGAAGTCCGTAAGTTTGCACTCCTTTGTCACTTCGTTGGCCGACTGGACTATCGCCTATTTCTAATTCCCACGTGTAAGAATTTTGATGGACTCAACATGCTTGTGGAGCTCTCCTTCGGTGATCAGCCCCAGCATTCCATTGTTATCGATTCCCGATCGAAACGAGCCAATATCCTGGAAAGGCTGCCGGAAAATACTCCAGCAGATCTCGCGACCAAGATTTTGCCTGAATATGTCCTTGATGTTATGGAAGGTCGTATCAATGCTCAGCAAGCATTCAGGCTCTACGCTCAACCTCCTTGCCCGGGTGCCTTCGCCAGCCGTTTCTCCGCACTGGGACCCCCAGCATCCGTAGTGAGCAGAGATGCGTTAGATCTCGAGAGTCTGCCGAAACCAACCGAAAACATAGAGCAAATCAAGAGCGATCTTAAGAAATGGGGCTATGCGTTCGTCGCGAACGCCCTAACACCGGATGAGGTTAAAGTAATAAGGACTGCGCTCGAAGAACAAGCAGCGGGCGAAAGACAGGCCGGCATCGCTCACATGGCGAGTCTCCATAAGTCTTCTGAAGATGAGCCAGACCAACGCGTGTGGTAAGCATATCATTTCTCTCTGCGGTCGAATTCTCAAATAGGTGCACTTCATCCCACTAACGTACCGAGAAAAGGAATCTAGTCAATAAAGGAGACGAGTTCCTGGATCTTCTAAACCATCCCTTGATCGACGCAATTATGCCTTGGTTTCTGGGCAGGGAGTTCGGCCTCTTCGCTATGACCGCGAACATCGTAACGCCAAGGTCAACGTCCGGGATTTACATGCACACAGATCAAATGGACATGACGCCCAATACGGCCAATCACCCCTACCTTTTGAATATTTTTTGGTACTTGACAGACGTCACTGATGAGAAGGGCGCCACGCGCATATACCCTGGGTCACACGTCAAGAACGTGGCGCCTCAGCAAATTCGCGACGTTGTACGTTATGCCCTTTCATTCACCGTTGCTTGCGCTAGATGTTGCAATCCTAATTTGCTTGTGTTTTACGTCCATGTTCATCTTGAATGATGATTCTACAGAGTGTGTCGCTGACTACCTGGCAACGCACAGGGCGGCTCAATACCGGCGGCTGCACCAGCTGGATCCTGTCTCCTACTTGACAGTAGAACCTGGCACTCCACAGGTATCAACAGGACAGATAGCTCACGACCTATCATCTGCTTGACCTGTTGTAGATTCTACATTCAGAGAATGGAGAAGCACGATCTTTTTCTCTCCGAGGAAACCAAAGAGAGGCTCTCTGATCGGCAGCGGGCACTACTCGGTCTCCCGCCCAAACAAACGTCGAATGGCACAGACAAAAGAGGCTGGGGCAGCATCTATAAGTTAGGAGGAATTGATGCCGGTAGACTGCGAGTAGCCGTCTAGCAGATCCTTTTCCATACCTGGTCACTTCAGGCGGTTCTCGGAGCACTTTCAGCCAACGCCTAAGTTGGCTTGATACTTCTGTACATCGACCTAGGAAATTTATTTCTTGTTACGTACTGCCTATTGATATTGCTTGCATGCTATGATTATGCTCCGAAGACAAGTCACCCATACTCACCGCATCATGGTACTTTTCGTGTGGTGTGGGGGTTTGAACATAAGCCCGACAGATGTGCATAACACCGCCGGCTTCTACTGATTACCTCCTTTATTTCTCTGCGGCTTTCACTTTGGCCCGGCAAACCCATACATCTTTCAGGCACATTACTGCGTCAACTGTCACCTCCACGAAAATGTATTGATCAAAGCTTAGATGACTCGGCATAGTTGACTTGGGCTGATAATCGTTGCAACTCCTTGCTGAGAAAGGCCAAAAGCCACTCTGCACTCTCATCTTCCACAACACCAGCCTCCCAGTTCACAGTGATGCCCATGTAACCCCCGGCTTGAGATATTGCACAAATGGTGTAAGGCGCTCCGTTAGTTGCCGATCCCGCCGACAACACAAACTTGTCAACACTAGCCCGTGGCCCAGCAGCTCGTCCGTCGATTTGAGAAGTCTCACTATCTACGACCCCAAGGTTGGTCAAGGTAAAGGCATGCCGCCTGGGTGTCCCCCTCAGATCTAGCAGTCCTTTGCGATGGTCCTTTCTGAATTTGATCAGACCGTTTGTGAGGTTCGACGTTGAAGCGCTGCGTTGTTGTAGAAAATGTTTGCACATATGCGCAGATGCCCATATCTTCGAGTCGCCAGTGCAAGGCGACCCGTCGTCTCCAGCCCGAAAACTGTTCGCAGTATTCTGACATGGAATGTAGCCTGGTGGTGGGCTGGCATCTGCAGAAAAGCGCGGCTCCGCAATGCTCGTAAAACATCCCATGTCGTACTCACCATGCTTTGAAAACTTCCTCAGTGAGAAGGGTACAGATGCTGTGAAACGCGTGCTAGGCTTGTACAAAATGGACAGCCCGTTTGACACCAGAACCGTTAATAAAGCTGTGATGCTTGTTCGATTTTGTCTGCATTGGCGCAAGAGGTTGCGTATATCCTTCTGTGGTAGGTAGAAGTATCGCGTGTTACTGAAGGGCGGCGGCTTGCTTCCAATGGGCGGTCCAACCCATTCTAAGGGGTCCACAGGAGAATACACGAGTGCCTTGAACAGGAGACGCAGGATGTACATTCGAGACATAGGGAATGTCATGCTTTCCTCCAAGTAGGGTACCAACGGAAGTTTGGGTACGGCAACTACCTCATTTCCCGTGAGGAAACGTTCTCCATAGGGGTATATCTCTGCTAAAGACAGTAGCTGGTTGAAACATCGATAGAAGGTCTTGTGGAAGGAGATCATCGAGATTCCGTCTCCGACAATATGATGACAAACAAGTGCCAGGATGAAGGAAGTCGTGAGGCTGTGATCAATGGTGTCCGTCGGGAGAACCAGCAGACATCGCCATAAAGGAACATCGAGTCGTCGCTCCAACTTCTTTTGGTGTTCTGCTTGTATCAAGGCGGCAGTATTTGAAGCTGACCTTGATCTCTTTACTTCTACAAGTCTTCGTAAATCAATGCGTTCGATCCTGCTGAAGCTTGGCTGCGGACTATCCTCGTCCTTCAGGGCAACTCCCAAGATAGGATGATACTTCAGCGTCCTTCCCAAGGCCGAGTAGACCAAGCCAAGCACGTCTCTACTTCGAAAGCCGGGTGTCGTTCTAGGAAATGAATACTCTGCGGAGAGCACCGCGACATTGTAGTAACCGACTTCGTGCTGATGGACGAGGTATTTCTCGAGGGGACCTGATTAACATTTACGATTCGATTAGTCCATTGCTTGTGGTTGTATGCGGGTCTGTTTGTGTAGTTACCCAGGGGCCGCAGTGGAGTTTGGTCCATCTTCCTGCGCTCTTCCAAAGATTCCGCAATTTGCGTCAAGGTCGCAACAAAATGTGCCTTGTCAATACTGAACAACACATTCTCTGCAGAATTAGACCAGCATGGCGCTACACCCAACCAGATCCCAGCCCACACTCGCTAACGGACGCAATACTTTGTCAGTCAATATTCTTGCGGGTTTAATGTTAAGTCCGTCGTGACACTCGCTGGAAAGCATAGGTAAAAGCTGGCCGAGAGATGTGTTCGGCTTCCCCCCAATTTAGGCAGTACTTGCGAACTTGGCGTTTTGAATTTCCCAGGCTGACGAATTTCCGGTTGTTGAATGCGTCGACAAAAGCCTATTACATAGTCCCGGCTAAGAAGCATTCACCCGCTTTGCAATCCTCTTCTGTTTAAGAAGAGTCCGGTTCAAATTCATCCACTAGCTGAAAGGATATGAGCTGGAAGCTTTTAACCCTAAATGGCGTCAACCCCAAATCTTGCGTGTTTGCGTTTGTCTGACATGTCGTCCTCACCGTCAAACACCCCGCATCATGGCGCTATTCCCGGTTCAGTAACAACATGGACCACTTCCTGGACCTGAATATCATGACGAACTGTCAATAGTCGAGATCGACCCACATTTCCATCCCTCCACATTCAGATGAGACCCAAGGAACCGGCGCGCTTGTGTACATGGAGATAGGGTTTTTCATAGAGTTCAGCCGTCCACGTTTATAGTTGGAACGAACACACCAAGAGCGGATTGCATACACCATGTTCCTGGTCTACAGACGGCTGAGAACTTACGCGTTTGGCAAAAAGACTTTCCTCAAGCGCTTCACGTGGCTCCATAAGCGGGTGGCATGGGGCGCTGGCGTGATCAGAAGTGAGGGTGCTCAAGCGAAACTTGCCGTAGCAGAGCTTTCGGCAGGAAAGATGTATACCGGATCAGCAGGGCTGTCAGCGTCGGGTTCGGGTCATGCGCATTGACAGAACGAACATCCCGAACTCCAACCTTACCAACCCGCCGGAATGGCGCTTGGTTTGGAAGAAAGTCTGAAAAAGGGCAATTTAGCCGCCAGCCAAGTTGAGACGGTCGCCTCGTTCAAGAAACTTTTTTTTCTCAAACTTCCCCTCTCAGTTTATCTTCCTCACTTGCATTTCGCTTGCGGCTTCTGTTTCGTTTTCGCTTCTCGAACCAGAGCCGGTTAAAGGGCCGAACGAAAGACAACTTATTCAACTTGGGACGATCGGAGAATATGTTGTTCGTCTTACCAGCAAAACGTGCATCTAAAGGTTTATGTATTGATTAAATCATTTATTCAATAAAGTAATTGGCGCATGTGCCAGTCCACGGGCATTTACCTACCTATCCTCATACTATACTGAGAATGATTTGGTTTTCGAAGGCATTGACACTTTCAAACTACCGGGAAATCTCATCCTCAGAAGACTTTGCCAATTAAATCGAAAATGGCGCTTCAGTCCGATGGATTCGTGCCACCGTCCATTCAGAAGGCTCTTGTTATGGATGAAAAGGAACAGCTTTTCATGTGGAACGAGGCTCCTTGCCCTGTTTTACCTAGCGACCAAGCTCTCGTGCGCATCGAAGCTGTTGCTCTTAACCCGAGCAACACGAAAATGAAGACAGATTTTGCTCATCCATTTGCGATCATGGGTGCTGATTTCGCTGGCACAGTCATTGCAGTGGGGCCTGATGTGGTCGGCGTTGGAGTTGGTGATCGGGTGTGTGGAGCACAAAACGAGATGTTCAAGTATACGCCAGAACAAGGGGCATTCGCTCAGTATACCGTGACGCGCGGCAAAATGTGGATGAGGGTTCCAGATTCATGGACGATAGAATCAGCAGCGTCGATACCTGTGGGAATATGTACCGCTGGTTTAGCTATAAAATCGCTAGGCTTACCATTGCCAAATGAGCCTATTGCGAAAGCTAAACATGTGCTCGTCTACGGCAGTAGTACTGCGACGGCAACTATTGCTATGCAACTGCTAAGACTGTAAGTCTCCTCACTTGTTGGGTGGTTTATGCTTTTGAGCATTTCAGTGCTGCCAATCTGATCACGGACTCCGTACGCAGCGCGGGCTTAATCCCAATAGGGATTTGCTCTCCAAAACACTTCGACTTGTCGAGAAGGAATGGTGCCGAGGACGTATTCGATCGTTTCGACAAGGACGTTGCGCAAAAAATTGTAAGTGGACTCTGCCGCTCTCTCTTTTGACACCCGAACAGACTCCTGAGGCTAATCGCTCTCCGTGAATAAGAAAGCTCACACGCGAAACAACTTGAAATATGCATTAGACTGTATCTCTAACGTTGAGTCTACAACCGTGTGCTTTAACGCAATGGGGCGCGCGGGAGGAAACTACGTTGCGCTGGAGCCATTCCCTGAGCATGCCGCAAATCGTGCGGTAGTCACTAAAGACTTCGTTGTCGGTCCCTGTATCTTTGGTGAAGGCTGTACGTATCCAGCGCCATATGGACGCGAGCCGGATGAGGAGATACGTGCATTGGGCGTTGAGTTGTGGGAAATTACCGAGAGGCTGGTGCAGGAGGGCAAACTGAACCATCATCCCCTCCGCATATTGGAAGGGGGGTTCGAAGGCATCCGGAAGGGCTTGGAGCTGCTCACCAACAAGGGTGTATCAGGAGAGAAGATTGTAGTCCGAATGGTAAGCTGACGCCGCATCTGAACCACGGGGCCTAGTTTAGATTCCGTTCTGGGTTTTGGGACGAACAGTGTCGTACAAATTGCACATCTTCCAAATCTCAACTACTCTATAGGAAACAACACAGCGCCGCTGCCGCTGTCAATCATCAGACGTGAGACCTAGTATCACTGGCATACACTGCTGTCTCCCGAAAATAAGAACCCTGTTCTCGGGAAACCCATACTAACTTTAACTCTTCCTCCCCGTCCAGCCGTCCGATCCCTTCAATGCCCCTTATTAATTTGCGACTTACTAAGCCCCACTGCTGTAAAGCTTGAGTAATGACCCTCTTATTTCAACCATGACCTCGGAAGCTTCGATTCAAATCAGCTTCATCTCTATTATGATCATACGAGTTATCATGACTTACCAACAACACCACGTTTGGCACGTTTGGCCTGCCTGGGGTCATGTCACTAGTACTGTTTCTCTCATCAACGAGATGCTTGAAGTGAATCCGTCGTTAGTTGTTACCTTTGTTTCTCACGCTTTCCTAGGTAAGATCTCACCAAGCTTAAGTTTCGACATATGCTGCATAACACAACGTTATGCCACGAGGCATGAGTAACGCAGCGGTGCAATATTGACTTCATTCAGACCTCAGCCAGTATGCAGATGCGCCACGAGAGCGATTTCATGTTGTTCTAGTCGGGGAACCGAAGTGAGTATTGAAGTATTTCCTGCAATCAGTTATTTCCCTCACGAGACGAAGATGACTGATCAAAATCATGTCAGTCTGCTTAATAATAAGGGTGTGACGGTCGAAGACATCACAAATCAGTTGTCCAAGGGATGGTTAGACACGCTTCAGCAGATCAGCAAACCGGGGCGCGAGTGGCCAAGGCCAACAGCGCTGATGCTGGATCACATCGGGTCGTTAGACACTCTGCCGCAGGCGCGACGAATCTCGGGTACAGACTGTAAGATCCTGTTATATTGGGCAGGTAGTGCTGCCCGTCTTTTCTCTTACCTTGCACCCTCATCCGAAGGCGGATTCAGCGACTGGGAAACAATTGCCAACAAGTATTTTTCCGACAAAGCCCTGCGTAAGGGAAGGAGCCTTGATGAAATAGTTGAGCAAGTGAGTACCCGTAATCTTCTCGCCGAATCACTTTGTCATTCTGATAGGCTGGCAATCTTCCATAGGTCTGCGTTGCCAAAAACGGACACGATGCTTTCAATGGAACCGTGATAAGTATACCTGGTTGTAAGGAGATTTACGACTATGAACGAGAATTCGGAGAGTTTGGCATGATTAGAACAGGTGAGCTGCTCATTCTGTGCGAGAGCATATCCCGTGGGCACTATACTAAGTTGGGTTGAAGTCGTCTCTTCGTTGCTTAGAGAGACAGTCACGCTTGTCCAAGCCACTGATGGGATCATCTGTGCTTCATCGATGGCACTAGAAGGAGAAACTCTCACTGCTTGCAACAAGTATACTACTGTATATCCTGTTGGAGTTCAGATAGGGCCCAAGAACTGGTCCCGGGACGGACTGATTGAGGATGAGAGAATACGTTCTTATCTTGACCGCCATGGCAAGGATGAGGTCCTCGTCATCTCATTTGGGTAAGAATACTACCACTGTTTCATCCCCGGGGCCAGCTTTTGTTTTGGGTCTCGTTCCATTAGTCTCACACTCTTTACACCAGATCTATGGTCTTTCCAACCAACCGCGCAAATTTTCAGGCTCTGATATCCACCTTGAACGAGATGAAATATCCATTCATCTTGATCATAGGGGGAATGCATGCGAAGAAATTCATCGATGCTTCAGATATAAGAAATATTCAGAGTAATGGAGTGGGTCTTGTGTGCGATACATGGGTCGATCAACAAGCAGTCCTCCAGCATCCGTCGGTGGGGGTTTTACTTGCTCACGGTGGATGGAATTCGATGATGGAAAGCTTTGTGCAGGGCATACCACTCGTGGGCTGGCCGCTAGCTCCTGGAGATAATGCTATCAACGTGGCATTGGCGGCAACGAGGGATAGACCTATTGCATTTGAAATCATGCAGGTAAGCCTTTCGATATGCACCAGCCTTGGCAGTACATGCTTGTGACGGTTGAGCGACTTAGTTGATAATTATTGTTTAGATCAGGACAGGCAGCGCCAAAGCCAAAGCAAGACGAGGAGGCCCTGATATCATTGGTAGCAAAGAGATTGTAAGACAAGAGTTTGAGGAAATCTTGCGCAAGACAAAAGAAGCCGAAGGGAAACGAATCCGTGAAAATACTCAGAATCTTGCTGCTGAGCTGAGAACGGAAAAGAGGGAAGCTGCTCGGCAAGTGATTACCACCTTGGCATTTATTTGAAGTAAACGAATCATGCAGGATTCACCGGAATCGCAGCCTGTGGGATGAAAGATCCACAAGCTTAGACTCTTGGAGGAGGGAATTGAATACTTCGTGCAGTCCTTGCAGTATCTTTGGAATGTATGCTACGGTGGGATGCCATAAATACGCCACAGACGGTGCATGGACCATTGTCACAGAGAACTAGGTTGTAGGATTGGTTGTAAGTGGCAAATAGGCAATTGCAATGAAAGGTTTCGAAGTTGTACATCTTCTGTTGATTTTCTTACGGCACATAAGAGCAATAGAGTAAGGTAAACACCAAACAACTTAAAATTCAGATGCACCTCACTTTGACTATCATGTGGTCAGTTACCGCAAAGTCCCTGATTTTCTCAAGGTCATCTTTGTCTCGGGGAAGCTCATGACCTCCATCGAAGCTTTCCAATCGCGCCCTGTCTTCCACAAAATGTGCTGCAAACATCTTTTTAGACGATGGAGCGCCGAATACGTCCTGCCGTCCATAAAGGTGCAAAGTAGGTAACCTGATTGTCAAGGTTTGACACTCGCGTTGGTTGTTGTTGCCCAGGTCCCGCATATACGTCTTCATGGCCTCGGAGTATCCCGAACAAACCAAGATGCCAAACTCCAGATCCGGCAGCCATGGTATGAGGCCGGCCTGTTGCTCCCACAGTAGTAGCGTCGATGCAATGGCGCCTTGAGAAAAGCCCAATACCCCAACAATCGCTCCTGAAGGGTTATCAGCTTTCCAGGCCCGGACGGTGTTTTCGATGCAGTGATTGAAGATTGCAATTTCATGTCTTGTTGCTTCGATTCCCTTCCTGAACCATGTGAAATAAGGCGGCATTTTCGCGAAAAATGGCAGGACTCCCGGACCGGGCTCCGAGGGATGAGGCGCTCTTGCGAACACGAATGTAAACTTGTCCTTCAGGATAGCCCGAATTCTGGACGTTTGAAATTTGTAAATAGCATCAGATGAACCGCTGCCATGAAGAAGAAGTATCGCACGAGTTTGACGAGAGCGATTCATTTTGTTCAGAATGATACTGCACGCTTCTGCTGCATAGATTGCAGATCTCGATTGACAGCGGCGTGTGGTTTGGCATATTCTTTATCACAACTTACAACCATCGAACGAACTGGGAGATGCGGTCTCGGAAACGGCTAGAGTGATTTACTCGGGGATGGCATCGGCGAAACTTACCCATATTGAGCAAATATGGCCCGCACATGTACTTGGATGGGCAAAACTCTGCTGCTGAATAACAAGCCATCACAAGATTCTCACTAAAGTAGAGGTAAAGTCTGCTTAAACTTACGTATTGTGCTAGCGCCCTGCGGGATAGTCGGAGCTTAACTTGGATTTTGCGCTCATAATCTCTCTTGGACTACGCGGATAAGTGGTCGAAACGTCCTTAGTGTGAATCGAAATCTTGAATGAGTTGAGCGATTTTCGAGGAGGAAGTTTGAGTATTCCAACGGCCATCCAGGAACCCTACCGCAGTAAATGGTAGGTCTTCTCAAGTGACACGGCACGGCGCCGACGCTATCGGGGTTTATTGGCACTCGATGGGATGAACGACAAAGGTCTTCCTTTCGTTAATCGGATAAACGTTCGGTTGTTCATTATGCACTAACAATTCTATACCGAGTATTTGTACTGCTGTGTTCTCTTAATTGCATGTGCTGAGAGACAAACTCATACTAAGACCGCCTCACAGAGTACCTCTAGAGCAGCCAACTACAGCATAGTTGAATCCCCAATTATCATTCTCAGTTGGAGAACACGGTACTAATCGAAGATTAGGTCACGCAAAATCAACAATGGGTGAACACGTCAATGTCAGTCGAGTTTTTGGCGAAGACCCGGTGGTCGTTTGTGGCATGGCCATGAGACTCCCTGGGGGCGTAAGCAACGCGAATGACTTTTGGGACATGTTGATGCAGAAGCGCTGTGCATCCGTGCCCGTTCCAAAGGACCGGTTCGACATCGATGGATATTATAGTGAGAGGCCACGCCCTGGGACTATGCAAACCAAGAAGGCATACTTCCTAAATCATGTTCAACTCGACCGGTTCGATGCCTCACATTTTTCCTATGGTCGAAGCGAGCTGGAACAGATGGACCCTTTGCAACGACTGCTGCTGGAGGTTAGTTGGGAGTGCCTTGAAAATGCTGGCGAAACCGACTGGCAAGGCCAAACGATCGGCTGCTATGTAGGCTCATTCTTTGAGGACTGGAGTGTCGAAATGCAACGGGACCCTCAATACTACAGCAACTACCCAACTGGCAAGTGGGACATCATGCTATCAAATAGAATCTCGCATGCGTTTGATTTTCGAGGTCCAAGGTACGTGAAGCTAGAACCCAGTGATATTCCCAACTGCGATAAGAATATAAGAAGCAATTTAATTAGTGTCTATGAGCAGCATGACTGTGAAAACTGGGTGCTCATCGTCACTGGTAGCTCTGAACCTCGCTGTTCAATCTTTGGAGTTAGGAGAGTGCACTTCTGCGCTTGTGGCTGGCTGTAGTTTGTTCCTGTCGGCGCCCCTTTCTGCCGCTGGCGCGTCCGGAGCTTTAGGAAATATCGCCTCCCCGGATGGCGTCTGCAAGACTTTTGACGCCGCCAGCGATGGAATTGGACGTGGAGAGGCCATCAATGCAGTTTATGTCAAGCGACTTTCGCAGGCCCTTCGCGACGGAAATCCCGTGCGGGCCGTGGTCCGTTCGATTGCTACCCAGCATGACGGCAGAGAGCCCGGCCTGATCATCCCTAATGGGTATGCACAAGAGACGCTTATTCGGCATACGTACGACAAGGCCGGAATCACTAAGTACTCCGAGACGTCCTTCTTCGAATGCCACGGCACGGGCACGCGGATTGGGGATCTTACTGAAGTTGGAGCCATAGAAAGGATCTTCAGAGAAGAAGGCGTCATTATCGGTGCTGTAAGTAACATTTTTACACCAACTGGCTTTAACAATTCAAGGATTGACCAAGCTTTGTTTTCTCTGCGACCATAGGTGAAGCCCAACGTCGGACATTCAGAGGGTGCCGCTGCCCTGACGAGTGTTATCAAGGTGATACTTATGCTTGAGAAGGGCGTCATTGCGCCCAACACCAACTTCAACACACCCAATCCCAATCGTAAGTGCTTGTTGAGGTTTTTTTCCATACATATCTTGATAACAAACTCATATCCACGTGTAGTGCCATGGGCCGGTGGGAAAATCAGGGTTGCTTCAGAGCCTGAACCGTTTCCTTTGAATCGTTTACGGAGAGCCAGCGTGAACTCGTTCGGAATGGGGGGTGCCAACTGCCATGTATGAAATAACCCTGTCCTCCATTCTGTCGCAATGCCTGATGTCAAAACTCGACTGGTAATCTTAACTATGGCTAACACTCATAGGCTATCTTAGAACATCCTCACCTGTGGCTCGATGCTGACCGCTATACTCAGCCACGGATGGATACATCTTCAGAAGACACAGTTGAAAGTAACCTCCTGTTGCTCTCGGCGTCGAATCCAAAGTCGCTAGAGCTGCTCCACCAGGCTTACGAGCAGTATACTATTGCAAGCTCAGGACGGTGTAAACTGTTGGATTTGGCATACACTCTCGGTTGTCGACGATCGAAGCTGAAATACAGAGGATTTTTCATCGCCCGAAACGACACAGTCGGGCAGCGCACGACGACCCAGCCAGAGCTTCGACTTTCAGTCGCCAGCAGCGATGAGCCAAAGAAGCTTGTTTTCGTGTTCAACGGCCAGGGCGCCCAATGGCCCACGATGGGCAAGAATTTGGTTCTGAAGAGCGCTGTTTTTCGCCAGTGTATTCGTGACTTGGACGGCGCGCTCAAGAAGTTGAAAGCGGCGTGGACGATTGAAGGTATGATGCCTTCGCCTATCCATTGACATTTTTGGCTTTTACACGCGATCCTACAAAGGCTCTGGTAATGCTGATATCATGCAGGGGAACTTCTGAAATCGGAAACCGAAAGTCGTATCATGAAATCGGAGTATGCTTTACCGTGCAGCACCGCTATTCAAATCGGACTCCTCGCTGTCCTCCGAAGTTGGGGCGTGATTCCGAATATAGTGACCGGCCATTCCAGTGGGGAGATCGCTGCTGCCTTTGCGGCTGGTGCCATCACAGCAGATGAAGCGATCATCGTCGCATATTTCCGAGGCTACATATTGAACAGAACCGGGACACAGCACTCCGGAGCTATGGCTGTTATTGGAGCCGGCTCCGAGTACATTTTTGAGTGGCTACTACCCGGAGTAGTTGTCGCTTGCGAGAACAGCCATGTCAATACGACCATCTCTGGAGACGCGTGTGCGGTTGAGGCTATGGTGACAAAATTCAAAGCAGGTGGTATATTTGCTAAGCTTCTTGATGTGGACCTTGCGTTTCATTCCGGTTAGTACTAATCCTAGGTATACTTGGTTTTACTGATCTAGTGCTAATAACGGGTGTAAAATGTCCAGAGCATATGAAGGACTTCGGCTTGGCCTATGAAGAAGCGATTCGCCCGTTTCTCAGCGCTGCCGCACCTGGGATACCTATGTTCTCCAGTGTGACGGGGGATCGCATAAATACCGCTGATTCTTTGGGCGCTACACACTGGCACCAGAGTCTTGTGCAACCTGTGCTGTTTAAGAAGGCCCTCACAAACCTCTTGAAGCAAACCGAGACACCAAACCTTGTCATCGTTGAGGTTGGTGCTCGCCCTTCTCTCAAGAGCCCAATCAGACAGGTGATGGAAAGCACGTCTGCCGACAAAGCCAGCTACCTTCCAACATTAGAGGAAAACAAGGATTGCCACGAAAGCCTTCTCAGACTTGCTGGCCGCCTCTTTTGTGAGGGCGTCAACTTAAAGTATCAGGCCATCACGCCGCGAGGGAAAACCTTGATCGACGCTCCAACATATACTTGGGCCCATGAACAGTCTTTTCAGGGGCAACACCGTTTGTACAGGGCGTACAGAGACTGCAAATACCCTATGCATGAGCTACTTGGAAGCCAGGTGTTTGAAACCAGTGCTCTTGAGCCGAGATGGAGGAAGGTACTGCTTCTTGAGGACATCCCTTGGCTTGGAGACCACGTCGTCAACGATAAGGTCATCATCCCTTTTGCAGCGTACATATCGATTGCCGAACAGGCGCTTCGTCAAGTCAACGGAGGCGATTTGGAGTCCTTCTCTGCCCAGGATTTCTCTGTTTCCGCGGCACTGCATTTGGATCCTGGCCGTCCGGTTGAGATACATACCAGACTGCGGCGTCTTGGTTCCGATGAGAATGCGCCTCTCAGCTACGATGTGCAAATCACTTCCTGGAAAAATAATATTTGGACGGAGCACTGCCACACAGTAGTTACCGCGGAGCCTCGTCGAGCCCACAAAGGCTTTGCAAAGCGCGAGTTTCCTCGCCAGCTATCTCGAGCCACCTGGTACAAAGTTACGCAAGATCTGGGCTTTACATATGGGCCCTCTTTCAGAAGGCTGGACCACATTTCGGTCAGTCCCAGTGTGCAACAAGCAACAGCCCGTGTGAACCCACCGGAAAACACGTCAAAAGACTCAACCTCCAGCTACCTTGTGCATCCTACCGCACTCGATCAGTGCTTGCAGACTACAGGCATTTCGCTCTGCCATGGTTTGCAGCGAAAAGCAAAGTATATGGCCACACCTACTTACATCCAAAGGATCTTTGTTCGTCAGTACGCTGGGTCCTTTTGGGCGACGGGAATGATGGATCAGGTTGCGCAGGACCACATTTCCGGAACGGTTCACGCATACGCAGATGATGGGGAGGATGTTGTCGTCATGGAAGGCATTGAGGCCCATCAGATCAGTACTTCCTTGCATGGCGAGACGGAGGCTCCTCCGATTGTCAGCGCGCCTCACTGGGGTGCTCACGCAAGCTTCTTCCCTTTCCAGATACTAAATGAGGCTCCCTTCTTCGACGCGGATGACATCAAGATTATGCTGCACTTGTTACTTCTTCTATTATTGGAGATGCAGTCGAGTTATGCTCAAGTCAACAACAACATTGACGACATTCCCGACCAAGGCGTAACCAAGTCATGGGTTGATCAACAGATTCAAAAGGCGCAGGAGGCAGGTTACGGCGTTCTGTCTCCGAGTACCTGCCGAATCACTGTTCAATACAACATAGAAAACCGCCAAGCGGCGCAACAGAAGATACGAGTCGAATTACAGGGAAGCCGTCTCCATGGCATGGATCTGACGATGGAGAAGCTTTTCAAGAACCCCCTGCGGCATACGAAGGAAACGCTCCGAGACTCCATCGTGTCCCAAGGCCTCTGGTCGCTACGAGCTAAAAAGGTTTTAGAAGCTGCGATGCCTATTCTGACACACACGAATCCTCAGCCAAAGATTTTACAGATCGGCTCAGCTGACGGGGCCAACAGTACAACTTTGACATTGCTGGAGCTTCTCCAGCCAAAGAAAGGGACGCAGCTTTTCTCAACATACACGTATACGTCGACTTCACTAGACTCTCTAAAAAACGCAGAGGACGGCTTTGCAGATATCCGAGGCTTTGAGGTGCGAAGCTGGGATGCCATGGGTGGGGATAAGAATCTCGCTCAGTCGTATGACATAATTGTCTGTGCCGACGTGCGTCTTCTCGCTTTCTGCAATATTATGAATGCATTTACTGATGTATACATATGCAGATACTCTCTACCGAACGTGACACTTCTCAAGAATTGCTACACATCAAGCAGTTACTTCGCCCTTCCGGAGTGCTTATTCTACTGGAGGCTCTTCTTGGTCAGTACCCAGATCCCGTCGCCCCAAACGTGCGCCGCGCTCAACATTGATAATTAACTTGAATGCTCAGCCGATTCATTTCTGACGTCTGTTGATGTGAGTACAAGGAAGTCTCGTTCTCACCTGCAAACAGATATGCAGATAGTCATGAGCACATCAATACATGCTCCGAGAACTATCCCCAGGTCGGACAGACACATTGTTCAAGGCAGGCAAGCTAACTTATTGGCAGGTTCTGTTCCAAAGCCAAACTCCAAACATCTCGAAAGATTCTCTGCTTTCTATTATCCGGGACCTTGGCTTCGAGATACCTGAAGGTGACCAACACAAGGACAAGGTCCCTCCCATCCTGCGGCTTCGTCACCTAAACCAGCTTGGGTCGAGCTCCTCAACCGTCAGCATCGTCACAAATAAGGAGAATAGCGCCTTGATTGAAAGTTTTAAGTCGATGCTGCACAACTCTTCACTTCCTTTCCGGACATACGATGCAGGTACCTGTATCAATCAGCCTGCCTCGTTGCCTGCCGAGGGAACCCTCATATTCTTTCTCGACCTAGAACGCCCTTGGATCTACCATCTGACCGAAAGTGAATTCTCCGCGCTTATCCAACTTCTAAGCACCGGCAACACAAAACGCCCCATTGTCTGGGTCACGTCGCTGTCTCAGATCAACTGCAACGATCCGCGATTTGCTATGGTTTACGGACTGGCTCGTACACTGCGATCGGAGCTGAAGACCGACATAACCATTGTCGAAGTCGACCCGGGAGATGTTACGAATAGTGACGAATGTGCAAGTTTTCTCACTCGCATCGTCCAACACCTTCCAGACCGATTCTTTGATGGTTCACTCGATCCGGACTTTGAATTTGCGATTACTAGGGAGCATGGCATCGTGGTACCAAGGCATCAGTGGACAACAGTGCAACAGGAACTCTGTCGATGCTCCGGACGACAACAAACAATCGAAGCGTCGACATTTTCAAAGCTTGTCCCAAGGGTTGCAGGCAGTTTGAGTTCATTACGATGGGTTAGATGCCCCTTGCCGGTTCTGGATGCCCACCATGTCCGAGTGGAGGTGAAAGCAGCCGCGGTAAACAAAGAGGTGCGTTTCAGACAATGGCCAGCGCAGGGCATTCTTGTGTTGGTGCCGAGGATGAGCGGATAACTGATCGCTGGTTATTTTTAGGATGTAATCATAGCCCAGGAGGCTTCTGATTCAAACCAGGTCGTTTTCGGACAAGAAGCTGCTGGCATCGTCACGGTCGTGGGCGATGATGCGTCTTCTTTCCAGGTAGGAGACCGAGTCGTCATTCTTTCCACTGGCAAAGGCGCCGTCGCCAGCCATCTGGATGTCTTGCCGTCGAGTTGTCTGCGTTTGGGTGAGGATTTCGCGTTTGAGGCCGCGGCGGCTATGCCACTGGCATGCGTTGCGGCCAAGTTCACAGTTGGAGAATTTGGGAGAATCGCAAGCGGAGACGTAAGTATTTCCGTCCAAGTATATTCTTAGGGTTACCCTGAGGGCTACCTGTGTTTGCTGACCTCTCGTTCAATTGAAGGTTGTCATCGTGCTGTTTACTCTCAGCGATCTGTGTCTCGCAACCGTCGAACTACTGCGCAAAAGAGGGGCAGAGGTAAGGACGTGGAAACGCAAATTCTGCTTGACGCACACATTCGCTGACTAGTCGATTTTCTTGTCAGAATCGCTTCATCATCACGTCAGAGTCCGACAGACTGCTTTTGGAAAATGCTTTCGGCATCGCTGCAAACTTCATCGTGTCAAACGCGCAAGATGCTCCGTCGTGGCCAAAGGCAACCTGCATGATCGGATTCGGCGGCGCTTTCCCTGACTTGGCGCTGCAATATCTGTCCCCTACTGGCATCTTCCTGGACGTTCTAGATCATCCGGTCAGGGCTAAAGACTGCCAAACACTCAAGATCTCTGCAAGTCAGGCACATCGCATCGTCAACATGCAGGCACTTAGCCATCACAGTCCAGAATCGGTGCAAAGGTAAGCGCATACAACCGCGGTGCGCTGATGCAAATTCATAGCACTATAATCACAAGTGAGTTAAGTACTGACCTACTTAGGGTATGGGAAATGTGCCAAGAATACTTTATCGGAGAATCACAGCCAGCAGATTGGGCACGACTTGCCAAGATCTTCAAGGCAAATCAAGTCCATGAGGCCTTCCGTGCTGCTGATGGACAAAAGAATCAGCCAGCCACCAAGGTGGTGCTCCAAATTCCAACAACCGACCCGCAGAGTGATTTTCCGGTGTCTTCCGTTGAAGTCATGCCTGCATCTCCTCAGTTTCGTTCGGATGCTGCTTACTTGCTTGTGGGCGGCTTGGGCGGCATAGGCCGCGCTGTGGCAACGTGGATGGCAGAGCATGGCGCTGGGGAGTTGATTTTCCTCTCTCGGTCTGCAGGCACAGGACCACAAGTTGAATCTTTTTTGGGTGAGCTTCGAAGCCAAGGCTGTGTCGTCAAGGCGGTCGCGGGCAGTGTTGCGGTCTTAGAGGATGTTACAAAGGCCGTGATCGCGGCGGATCGCCCCATCGCTGGGGTGTTCCAAATGTCAATGGTCTTACGGGTACGTTGAGTCTGATGACGTACCTTCTCTCAATCTTACCATGATCTAACGGGTTTCACAGGACAACGCAATACTACGCATGACGTACGACGAATGGCGAGCATGCATCGAGCCCAAGATTCAAGGCACGGAGAATCTTCATAAGGCCTTGGCGCGATCTTCCTTGGAGTTTTTCGTGCTGTTCTCTTCTATCGGCGGGCTAGTCGGGAACATTGGACAAGCCAACTACAACGCTGCGAACACCTACCTGGACGCTTTTGTTCGGTACCGTCATAATCTTGGGCTCCCAGCATCGGTCATCGATATTGGGATCATGGGTGGCATTGGGGTTATCGCTAGTGCGGGCAACATGCAAGACAGAGCCCAGGCGGCGGGATACCACGTTCTTTTCGAGGAACACCTCCTGGAGGCCATCACCATCAGCATAAACCATTCTCGTCCAGGCCCAAATGCCAGTCGAGACGATGCATATTCGCAGCTCAGCCAAATGGCCCTCGGTCTGTGGACGGAGCAGCACCTAGCAGACCCTTCGACACACGTCCTTTGGAAAAAGAACGCCCACATGAGTGTGGCACACAGTATCCATCCAGAAGCCTTGGCTTCAAGAACACCAGAGCTTTCCACTACGAAATCTGAGTTGGCATCAATCATGACAATTGCAAAGAGCACACCTGACCGCCTGTTACACGAGGAAACAATCAGACTGATCTGCAAGCTGCTTGGGACTGCTATTGCACAATTACTTGCGCTTTCCAGCGCTGAAATTGGCCCAGAGTCTGGGCTGGATGACCTTGGGCTCGACTCATTAAACGCAAACGAGCTAACAAGCTGGATATCACAACATCTGTTGGTTGACCTGCCATTGCCTGATCTCATACAATCGGCAACCATACACGATCTTGCGGGCAAGATTGCTGGACTGCTGGAGGATAAGTTCGGAGAAGCCCGGATATAGTGAATTATATAGCTCGAAACTACGCCTTGTTTATGAATTCATTGCAGACATGCCCTTGGGCCAGCTTGCTTCTGAAGTAATGTTGTTCCTTTTTGGGCCTTTTGCCTACTTCAATTCTACTGTGCCGTCCCCCGCAGCATCATTAGACCATTGAAGAGCTGTTTCACTGGATACAGTGTTTGCATGAGGCCGTAATACGTCCCCCGGAACACTTGGGCATACTGTAACCGCCATGAGTTTAAACGGAATCCATCTAACGGTGCGCCCCGGCTTTCGACTCATCTCTGAACCAACTCATCGGTAAGTAAAAGACAAATCCCTGGTTAACGGGGCAAGAACACCTCATCTTTGTCGTCACCAAAAGTCAATTCAGAATAATATGAAGTGGTTGAAGTTTATGACATAGGGTTTAGGAGGCAACGGGCGGGAAAGGGTCCCATTTCTGACCTCGCATTTTGACTTTGTCGGGAGTTGTGTCCAAACTTAAAATGATGGGCCCGGTTTAGGTTAGCCAAGAAGACAAGGAAACCAGGGAGTCGACATTTTGCAGTGAACATGGTATCTTAGGTTAGGTGCTAGAACAGAGTTCTTCCCGCCCCTCTGCCGGCATGGGCAGAAAGCTCAAGGAGAGTACGAGGTGCTCGGTTTCTTCAAAAGGGTATTCATATGATTTCGGCACATTATCGAAGCATGTATCAATCGTTCACTGTTAATTCATGATAAAATTGCAGCATGAACACCTTCGTCGTGCTAAGGTATCTAGGGCTTATTAAGATAGAGGCACACCGGGTTTTATCGCCTGCCTACTCTGTATTTGCAGTGATTTGAAAGTTTGGTTGGCTCCACTGCGTTCCCACGTGGGTTTGGTCCGCTTCAGGTTTGCTCATCAAATGCATTCTTTTGAACCCGAAGAGACCGACGAACCGGTCCGGAATGCTGGCTTTTGACTTTGCTACCAGTGTAAATATCCTTCAAAAGACGTTTTCTCTAGATTACCTTAATGCGATAGAAGTTTTCGACTTGCTTATGCAATAATACTCTGTATCCATCTTCTCCGAATGAATACAGATATGTGCATCCATAATCTCCCCGACCAGTGTCATTATAAATTATACGTCTGAAATTTGCCGAATCAGTAGCACTGCCTCAATACTGCGCGACGCAAGACCAAGATGACCTTTGGGCCTCCACCAAAACGACTCCAGGAGGAGTTGCCAGAGATCGATGCAGTGGAATGGGCAACGCAAGATGTCGAGAAACGGTTTTCAGTTGGTTTCAACCCAGGCCACATCAGGGCCAGCATTTGTTCTGTTTCGAGTAAAAACGACGGCCTGAACCAAGCTCCGGCACTTCCAGCAGCAGTGAAGCCTCCACGGCGCATGGTGGCAGCAACAGTAACGGGGCTACTTATTGCCGTGCTACTTATGGCACTTGATGTCAACATTCTCGGTATGTATAACCATACGGACGAATGTGGTTTTGCAACATATGTAGTGAACACAAATAACCCGTGATTGGTGGTAGCCACGAGTGTTCCCAAGATTACAACGGAATTCAAAAGCCTTCGTGATGCGGCTTGGTACGCCGCGGCTTTCTCGCTAGCTCGGCTTGCAACTCAGCCCACTTATGGGCAGTTGTATACTCTCTTCTCTATGAAATACACATTTTGCTGTAGTCTGGCTATTGTAATCATGGGTAAGTTGATCATGCAGCGTTTTCGGTCGTTTTGTTCCTCGTTCAATTACTAATGTTGTACCAGGTTCCACCATTTGCGCTGTCTCGCCAAATTCAATGACCTTGATTATTGGCCGAGGTGTTCAAGGCCTAGGGTCCAGTGGCGTGGCGTCAGGTGCTCTAAATATTGGCGGCTACACCGTTTCGAAAGCGAAGATGCCTTTGATGATCTCCCTCATGGGCTCTATGATGATGACAGCGGCCCTCGCAGGTCCAGTACTCGGAGGTGCTTTCACGGAAAGCGTTCTAACTTGGCGATTCGGCTTTTGGCTCAACTTGCGTAGGTGTTCAGTGGATTTCTGTCTAATTGTTGCTTAGAGGCTGACCGCAATCTAATGAAAGCACTGTCTGCTATTAGCATGGTCTTGGTTTGGATGACTTTTCCAGAGCCTCACAGACCTTCTACCAAACTTTCACTCAGAGACAAACTTATGAGGCTGGATCCTACAGGTAGCATTCTAATATTGAGCTCCATGATCTGCCTAGTTTTGGGCCTTCAGTGGGGTGGCAATCTCTTGCCGTGGACCAACAGGAACGTCCTTGGATGCTTGATCGGGTTTGGAATATTGTTTTCTCTATTTTTATTACTGCAAATCAAACAGAAAGACAAGTGAGTTAGACGGCTGTCATCCTCCTTTGTGGACCTTGAACCCAACCATTTATCGCGTCTATTCAAGAGACTCATGCCTACGCACGCTGATTTCAAATCCACACAGAGCTCTTGTGCCCCTTCGTATCGTCACGCAGCGAACCGTTGGACTTGGCTGTATCGCGACGACGTGTACGTATCTGGCTGTCACTGTCTTGGCGTACTACATGCCCTTCTACCTCCAGGCTGCCAAAGGCCTGTCTCCAAGCAAAGCTGGACTATACATGCTCGCACTGGGGGGACCGGAGACGCTGGCGACCATCGCTTCAGGAGCCTTGATTACGTACACGAAGCACTACGTTCCAATGCTGGTGCTAGGTGGAGCGGTGTTCTCTCTTGGCAGTGGACTCTTGTCAAGCCTCACCACCGGCAGTACCGCTGGACAAATCATAGGTTATGAAGTCTTGACCAGTATTGGCCTGGGTTTCGGCGGTCAGGTTCCACTCACTGCCTTACGGAATGCTCTCTGCGAGGCCGACATACCAATTGCGAATGGCTTGAATGGTTTCTCGCAAAGCTTGGGCGTTGTGTTAGGAGCACCCATCGCCCAATCGGTCTTCATGAACACACTGACCAGTCATCTGGGATCACGGCTTCAGCCCGGAAATGTTACGAAAATCACCGATCTTGGGGCGTCAAATATCAACCCTTCACATGTTGACCCGCAGCTGCTACCGTTCGTTTCGCAGGCTTATCGGGACGCCTCGACTACGTCCCTGTACGTTGCTGTGGCATCTGCTGCAATGGCTGGTGTAGCCGGGCTTTTAATGGAGTGGAAGAGACTCAAGACTAAGGAAGAAGGAGATGATTAATTAGGCTTGGAATACACTGCGGATACCAGAATATGAATGGCCTGTTAAACCCCCAACCTGTGAGAATCAGAGTAATGAGCTCACTTGGTTCTATTCTGAGAAAGTTATCGTTAGAAATCAGACAAGACTGCAGCAATAATAACCACAAGACGATGTCAAGATCGAAGGATTGGACTCTCCAAACTCTATAGCAAACTCTGTAGACAATAACGGAATACCATTTCATCATTCCAGCTCTGCTTCAATTCAATTATGATGCCAGCTCTACAGGAGGTTGGCCTTCCACCTCTGAAGGTTTTGTCTGTGAAGATAACTCTACCGCCGGCGGCGATATTGGCTGAAGTTCTCGTGATTCCGAGCCATGACCAGGAAGCTCCTGCTTAGTGTCATGTCCCAGCCCCTTGTGGTATGCAACTCCTTCAACAGCAGTAACCTGACTGTGAGCGAGACGCCTTTCCTTCCTCTTTCGCAAGCAGACAAATATCGTGATTCCTATCAGAATGAGGACGACGACGACGATTCCGACTGCGATGCCAGCAATGGCTCCTGTCGCCAATCCTCCCTCCCCATTATCTTTGTCATTGAATGGACTGTCTCCGTACAGTGGAAACGGGGGATGCTTGATCTTGATTGGGCCAGAGCGGGGAAGATCGGTGAGAAAGACGTTTCGCCAGGCCGTGGCCACCTTCACCTCTGTGGTTTCACTTGTGGTATATACGTTGACCCAGACATCGGTTGGTGTAGTGATGTAACTCACACAATCCCGATAAGGAACGTCATCTCCGCCGACCGTCAAGCATGCCCACCCACCAGGGGGGCAGCACCATGTTTGAGAGACAAACTGGGCACTCTCTAAGTTAATGTTGGTATTGCAAGCTGACGTCCAGCCGCTTATGCAAGCAGTGCCTGGATATGCCAAGTTGGGTAGATCACCTGATCAGGCAGGAAAGTTAGCAGATTGCTAATAGGTGTAAACTTGAGTCGGTCTACTGACTGAAAGTGCCGCCCCAAGGTCTCCAAATTCTATCGTAGCTTGCCGGGAAGCACTCCGTTGGTAGACTGGTAGTCGTCTCACCGACGTTCATATCCCCATAGCAGATTTCGCTTGAAGTTATGTTTTCTGGCCTGCTCGTACATCTGATCGACCGAGGCACTACCGAGCAGGAAGCTGGAGGCGTGAATGTTGCTGTTTGAGGGGACAAAGTGTACACCAAGGTGCGCTCAAATCTTTCCTGGGGAACCGTGAGTGTTGTCACAAACGGCTCGTATTTTGTGGACTTGGGCATGGCTTGTTCTGGAATTTTCTGAGTCAATCTGTGTGAGTATTTGAGAGCTTAAGTATCCCCGCGTGTGCGTATATCTGGCCTGGGGAGAGAAGGAAAAACGCATTTGCGAGCATTGGGAATTGGAATGTGGCCAGGATCTGGTTTTATATGAGCTCATGTCAGACGAGTAGCGACCGAGGGCTTTGAAGCTTACGGTGTCACGACACTTCCAGCTCTGACAATTGGCTGATCCACCATCCATATTCGTCGCCGAGCCTCATTTCGGGCACTAATATTATCTAGCTGCATACCTTGTACTCTAGTAAGACAAGCTTTTAGTCGAATACGGGAAGACCGTCGGCGTTTCGCCTCGTAAGACGGACAAGCACCAAGCAAAGGACATGGCAAGTAATATTGGGCAACAAACAATCATGCTTGTGACTTTTACTGTGTTTGTCATTCATGTATCTATACACCAACGCTCAATCTATCCATCCTCCGCGGTATCCCTCAGACATGTCGAGATGCTCCTCATGCACAGTCGTAATTCTATATTCATACCCAAACCCACTTCTTTACCTTCAAGCCTTCTTGACGAGCTTCTCCTTAATCTCCGCCACAACAGCGGCAGTGACCTCCTTTGTCGTCGCCTTGCCGCCAAGGTCGGCAGTCACAATGCCCTTGCCGGTGACGCTCTCGACGACCTCCATCAGCTTGTCGGCGGCGTCCTTCTCGCCGAGCCAGGCAAGCATCTCGGCGGCGGTCCAGAAGGTGGCGACGGGGTTGGCGACGCCCTTGCCGGTGATGTCGAAGGCGGAGCCGTGGATGGGCTCGAACATGGAGGGGTTCTTGCGCGTGGGGTCCAGGTTGGAGGTGGGGGCGATGCCGATGGAGCCGGCGAGGGCGGCGGCCAGGTCGGAGAGGATGTCGGCGTGCTTTGTGGTTTGTTAGCTTTAATGGTTTAGAAACAAGGATAGAGGTAGGTGAGACTTACCAGGTTGGTGGCGACGATGGTGTCCAAGCTCTTGGGGTTGAGAACCATCCTCGTGGTCATGGCATCAACCAGCATCTTGTCGAGGGTAACGTCGGGGAAGTCCCTGGCAACGTCATAGACGACCTCGTCCCAAAGGACCATACCATTGCGCTGGGCATTGCTCTTAGTGACGAAGGTGAGCAGCTTGCGGGGACGGCTCTGGGCAGTCTCGAAGGCGAAACGGACGATGCGCTCGACGCCGTGGCGGGTGAAGATGGCCGTCTCGGTGGCAGTCTCCCAGGGGAGGCCGCGGTGGGAGCGGCCGCCCTGGCCGGCGTACTCACCCTCACTGTTCTCGCGGATGATGACCCAGTCCAGGTCGCCCTCGGCGCAGTTGCGGAGGGGGGACTGGGTACCGCGGAGGACGCGCGTGGGGCGGACGTTGGCGTACTGCTGGAAGGGCTGGCAGATGGCCAGGCGGAGACCCCAGAGGGAGATGTGGTCGGGGACGTCTGCCGATCGGTTAGTCCGGGGGATGATCGCGGAGGCTGGGGAACATGGGGCTACTTACCGGGGGCACCGACGGCGCCGAAGAGGATGGCGTCGTGCTTCTTGAGCTGGTCGAGGCCGCCGTCGGGGATGTACTTGCCCGTCTTCTTGTAGGTCTCGGAGCTCCAGTCGTAGTCGGTGAAGTCGAGGTCGAAGGTGCCCAGGGTCTCGGAGAGGGCCTTGAGGACCTCAACGCCGGCGTCGATGACCTCCGGGCCGATGCCATCAGCCCCCATGGAGGCGATGCTGTAGGACTTCTTGGCGGGGAGCGTGCTGGGCGACATTGTGGCGGTTTTGTGAGGGGTTAAGGTGAGAAGACCGGACACTCAGTTGTTTGGTCTGTGTTGAGGGATGTGAGGGGATTTGTCTTGCAGCTCAACTTGAGTTTTCAGACTGCTGGGGGAAGGGATCAAGGTAGATGAGGCTGTATTGGAGAATGCAATGGGAGTTGGAGACACGTCGTGATGGTGTCTTCTTTTGTAATCGGTTGAGCTTCGCCGACAACGGCTAGATCTTCAGCGTGAACGCGAAACATCTTCGGGATTGATGCCGCCAGCATCGGGAGATTGTGGAGTTGGCAGATGTGAATGGTGGAGGCGGCGATCTGGGGTCCGGGGAGCGGTGTTGCGAATGTCCGCGGTCTTTTCTTACCCCGCGGACCAAGACCACCCCGCACTCACTCGTGTGATCCTTCGAGACGGCATTGAGTTATTTCTCTTCACGACTCAACTCACTAAACACCGACGGCCGCAGCGAGTACTTTCATGCCGCTATTCTGGATCTCGATTAGTTTCAGCGGCAGTCGAATTTTGCACCCTTTCTCCAAAAGATAATAACAGCCGCATTCCGCTCTCCCGCGTGGAACGTCTGTCGGGCCTCTTGCGCGGAACCTCTCTTGTCTCATCTCCCCCCTCCATCCATTCATTTCAAGCCTGGGAGGGTAAGGTCATCAAGCCATGATCGACGCATCCGCCGTTGATGCCGTGCTGCAGCACATCCTGCCGGCCGTGAAGGCTCACAAGGCGGGCTCCTCAACCCCGTTCATTCTTGGCTTGTCGGGGCTCCAAGGAAGTGGCAAGTCGACATGGGCAGCGGCTCTGACGCAGACCCTCAACGCCAAGCACGGCGTCAACACGCGGACGCTCTCACTGGACGACCTCTACCACGACCACGACCAGCTCGTCGCCCTGCGCGAGTCCAACCCGGGCAACGGGCTCCTGCGCACCCGCGGACAGCCGGGTACGCACGACGAGGCGCTCGCGCGGCGCTTCTTCGACGATGTCTGCCAGAATGCTGGCGGAAGCTCTGAGGGCATCAAGTGGCCTGCGTTCGACAAGAGCCTCTTCAGCGGCGAGGGCGGCCGCGTGCCTGTGGCGGAGTGGGACATCGTGCCGCGGAGCGCGCCGCTGAAGGTCCTCATCTTCGAGGGCTGGTGTCTTGGCTTCCAGCCTCTGTCGGCTGAGCAGGTCGAGGAGAAGTGGAACAAGGCCAAGGCAGCCTCCTCAAACAGCACTTCCTCCGACGGGGAAGCGCAGCTGTCGACGACGACGTTGGCGGGCCACAGCCTGGAGCACCTGCTGCTCATCAACAAGAACCTGGAAAGGTACTGCGAGGCCTTCATGGGTCCCTGGCGCTTCGATGCGTTCCTCCACCTTAGCACAGACCAGTTGGTGAATGTGTACCACTGGCGGCTGGACCAGGAGAGGGCGCTGCGGGAGAAGAAAGGTGCGGGAATGACGGACGCGCAGGTCATCCGTTTTGTGCAGGGCTACATGCCCGCTTATGAATTGTACCTAGACAGACTGACACAGGAGTCGTTTTTCACGGAAGAGAAAAAGGCTCATGTTCGTGTTATTCTAGACTCCAATAGAACAGTTCTGCGCGTTGAGAAAGCGTAGACTATGAACTTACGAAGCCATTATTTCCCCCCACAATCTGAATTACGTGCCCTACATTCTCAGTGAAATCTAGACTACCAACATGTTACATAGTCCCGGCGACCCAGCAGCTTTCAAAGATCAGTTGACAGCTGCTGGACCAACTCACAGACCTCAACTGACCCGACAGCATGTTTTACCCCGGATTTCTCCCCCCATAATCCACCGTTTGATACGTCCAGGCCACGTTCTGACGACCTAGGATCAACAAAACCCCACGCCCGAGTCTGAACTAGCAGACATTTTAGCTATCCGGGGTAAGTCAGGCCCACGCCT